CATGATTTAAGATAGTGGATATAAAGTAAAAATAAATATAAGCGGTCTGAATACTAGTGAAATTCCGATTTTTCTATTTTCAAGTTCACCTACGAGATTGAAAGCGGGATCTAGAATAGGCCATCAATATTAGGAATACAAATAAACATGCGGGCAACAAATGCCGGCGACATAAAGAAGAGGAAATCAACTGGGCAAGTTTATGGTACAGAGACGCTATTTGAAGAGAGAAATGATGTTGATGTATGACAGAATACAACAATTATTTGGGAGTTGACTCAACGATACTTTCCATCACACGTATCAGTAGAATGAACCAAACATCATCGAGTAGTCATTGAGTGGGAATCCATCAGGGTTAACAGGCAAGCAAAGTTGCGATGATTAAACTGATTAAACCTAAGTCTGTGGCCGAAAAGAATGGTAAACGAATTCATTCACTCATTTCTTGTTAAAACACAATGAAAGAAGTAGGATGTTTATTGGAGATTATTGGCCAGTCAATAGTCTCCACTCCAAATCACGCGCATTTCCTAATACCCAGCACACCCCCAAGTTAGACGTTTTCTTAGACGGGCCTGTGGCATGCCCACATTCTTCCCGTTACTCATTAGGCTTATGTCAGTTACAGTAGTCATTGGGGAAGATCATGGAAATATGCCCTTAATGGAGCCCTCTCTATACGGATTACGGTTCCGTCTCGGCCGTCTCGGCCGTCTCGGCAACTACTGCGTATAGAGAATCATGTACGTACTGTATGGACTGCAACATTACAGTAGGTAGGTAGGTAGGTAGTTTTCATTTACCCTGACCCCTCGCCGAAGCGATATGCAGGCTACCACTACTATATATCCTTGTACGTACATGTGAAGTGTACCACTTCCTGGAACGAACTTAGAGCCTCGCCAAGGCCTTTCGTGGCCTAATTGCCGTTCACGTTGTCAAGCTGCCCTCGTGGCGCGCGACTTCGGAATCTTTGTGATGCCTCCGCGAAATCCAATACAGCATCCACCGTTTTTGTTCGCGAGGCATGATGTAGATGACCTCTCCTTTCTTCTCCTGGACCCCCAGCAAGCTCGACACGCTACAAAACGTGTCACCGACTTTCCTCCGCAACTCCCGCCGCAACTCCCTGAGATCGGGGCAGTCCCACAGGACGTGTTTCAGTGTTTCCCGGTCCCCACAGACGCATCGGTCATTGTCTTGGAAGTGAAATACCTTCGCAAACGTCGCTAACCAGCAATGTCCGGTTCGTAGCTGTGAGAGTAGGTAGGCTCGATTCCTCGGCAAAGGCCCGTAAAGCCGTCTGGTGTACTTGGCAGGTAGTGCGTTGTCAATGGTACGGAGATGTCCGCCTTCTCCAGACTCTTTCCATTCCTTTTCCCACTGGACGTGGATGTTGTTTCGGACGAAAGCTTTCTCTCGGGACAATAAGGGGAAGAACGGGTGGGTTTTGCCTGGGATGGCTGCCTCTTTGGCCAAACGGTCTGCTGAATCATTCCCAGGCGCTGCGCAATGTCCCGGTATCCATTGGAGACGGATGGAAACTCCGTGTGCTTTGGTGTTTGTAGCCGCCTGTAGGATAGCATAAATAATCTGTTGACCGGATTTGTTCCCTGGGTTTTGGATTGCCTGTAGTGCCGACATGCTGTCACTGAGGATAGTAGCCAGCCTAACTTGCTCACCATGTAACCCCCGGCGCTCCGAAGCACCTTTGTTGATAATTTCGATGGCGTGCAAGATACCGATCAGTTCAGCGGCATGTACAGACCATCGATCAATAGACCCGACCTGAATCTGTACGGATTCGGACGCTTCCAGATTGTTGTCGAGCGTGACGGCTGCGGCCCCTAGATGACCATGGCGCCCCGACGCATCCGAATAGACAACAACGTCTGAGATAGACCGAATGGTTTCAGCTCGCTGTGTTGCTATCTCTCTATCTGATTCAATCTCGATTTCCGTAAAAACCTCTGTTCTCCATGGCGGTCGCATTCTAGGGTCGATCATTTCCAGATCTTGCAACCTTTCCAGGTTCATTGTCTTCAGCGCCTGTGTGAGTGGGAATCGAGAATACGACCCGATATTATTCCTCCGTTTTTGCAACATTACAGTAGTATTCGAATTCAGTTATACCTCCGCACTCTTGTGACTAGACTCCCGGAAATTATATCCAGCAGCTCTGAGTCCTGATTGGACAGGCTTTTGAAAGCCCCGCTTTCAGACCGCTTACCAGACTAGTAGGTGTATCTTACAATACAGCGGCAAGACACGAGAAGATGTATTATACACGAAAGCGCTATACGAATGCCACCCCCTCCTCCATCTGGTGTAAAGCAGGTGTTCTCGCCCACTCACCCCTTACCCGACTGTCTCCGAGTCAAACCCAAATATCTTCAATGAACATGGCCCTAGGCTCTCTATACTGTATCCAAACTTCATCTTATCAATGATATGGTAGAGAGCTAGTCGTTTACCACGTCACAGATAGCCGAGGAAGCTGAATGCGCCGATCTTACGATATCAATATTCGGTCAGTTTAGAATAATCTATGACCGCAATAATTGAATCGGCCGGAAAAAGACTGTACACCACTGACGATGACAGCCCTTTGCGATCACCTGTCCGAGAAGCCTGGCCTTTATCTCGATGAGATGGCTGTCTTCATGTGGGATGAGTTGAAAACCATTTTTACGACCTCCAGCATCAGAAGAGCCCTGACAGTGACAGGCAGGTTGGTCAAAGGGGTACAGTAGCATGGCAGCGTGCTAAAGAGCAGAACGCGGACTTGAGAGAGTATTACCTCCATACTTAGCCGAGCGTCAGTCGTATCATCTAGTATAATTTTGTGAAAATGATACTGCATTGTGGTTGTATTGGTGAAGTGCACAGCCTATCAGTCGAGGGTTGTACTAGGTGTCCAGTCGGGCTCACTGTTTCATGATAGAAGTGCAAAATATCATCCCATGCGTTCCGAAAAAGAACAATTCAACAACCATATTATTGCTGGAGAATAGGCAAATATAAAATTTCAAGCTGTATTGCAGCGTCAATCAGGCAATAAGAACAATTCTTAGCTCGAATGTTCATTGGTCGCACTGTATTCAAATGGTGCCACCCTCCTTTTCGCTTGCCTATGCTTTGCTGAAATCCCTCGGTTCCAGCTCTCCCATTCCAGGATCTCTTCCTCTGCCCGCTTGAGCAAACAAGCTTGATTCTCAGTATGCTGCGTTAACCTCGAAACTTTCGTTACTAACTCATCAATAGCATCTTCCAAAGATTGAGCCGATGTTCCATTTATCGATATCCTCCGGGCTAGTTTGCGGGTGACATCAATCATAAAATCACCCCCTTCTTCTATCAGGGCTCTCATACTCTCCTCTGATAGTATGGTATATTTCAGCGCCACATATTGAGAAAGTAGTTCCCGAGCTGGATCATTCGGTTTCGATTTTGGTGTTGCGCCGTAAACGAGGCGTATGGCATCTGCAAGAACCAGGCAGAATGGATCCGTTGGTGCATCGCATTTAAGAAGAAGTTGTGTCAGGCGCTGTAATGCCAGAACCTCGAGTCTGGAGAACAAAAACTGGTGTGCAAAGCAGTAAACCTTAGCGTGTATAAGAGCGATGTCACCAAGGCCCTCATCACAAGCACTAGGCTCCTTCATGAACGCTGCTGCGGCTGTTTGCATAGTCCCTGCTGGCAAACCAGCTTGCAAACACCGACTCAAAGGCGTTAGCGGTCGTTCTTCCGAAAACGCTTCGTTTAAGATTTTGGAGTCAGGCACCGATGACCCCACTTTGGTAGAGAGGAAGGCTTCTTGTGCTGCAAGGTATATTCGTTAATAGCGAACAGAATTAAAAAAGGGACTATGTATGGGATGTACCAATCTGACCATTATTGTTTCTCTCTTCAGTTTGTTCGACGAACGTTCGACTGCGCACGTCGTAATCCTCAATGTATAGATAGCTCAAGGCGCATTCAACGGTTTGCTCTTCGAATTCCGTCCAATCAATAGCCCCACTCGTACCATTCTTAATCCACTGGTCGTTGACACGAGCTTTCAATACCGGAGAGCCGCAGGACGAAAGGACTCCAGGATGAACGTAGTAAAGGGTTTTTTGAGGGCCAACAATGACCTGGATTGGGCAATCTTTGAACGTACTTCATTAATGTCAGCACAAGAAAGTACAAAGTATAAGGGCTGTACCTACCTAGGGAATTGGTGAAAATTTGTACGTGATGCCATTGCTCAACAATCCTGAAAATTCAAAGCTGATGAAAACTATCGAGATAATGTAGTGTGTGTGGTCGGAACAATTTCAACTCCAGCGAGCAGTGTGTCTTGCTGGCGACCGAGGAGCGAGCGGTAGAGACCTAGAGTGTGGTGGTCCGATGGTTCACGCTGTGGAATAATTCAATCCTAGAAACCCTTTGACCGAAGGCAGTGCATCGGATGACGGTAACGGATTAGATGGTGTCGTCGAAAATAATGGCGGGGAATATGTGTTGGCCTCAGAAAAGTGGTGAAGGAAAAGCACAATGATTGGCTGCACAGGGGTGGGACGGCCCTGGGAATCATTTAAGAGGGTCGGTGGAGCGGTGGGAGATCATAGTCAGATGACCCTGGAGAGGTCAACTTACTAGGCGGAAGAATTCTCAATTTTCCCTGGTCATGAGGGGAAAGAGAGAAGCTAGGTGGGGAATCTGGAGATCTGGCCAAATCAACCTCCATGTATTATTACGGTACCGTGACAATAAGTCATTGCCAACGATACAACAATTACGATAACAGTTTTGCCAAAATTATGAGGCGGTGGACCAGCCCGACCTAGCGCGTGTTGGAATTATTTTCTCCGAACCAAGATGAAAGAATTTAGAGGTATAGCTGATTTCGAAAAGTACTGTATATTCTTAGGAAAGTAATTTAGACTATTGAGATAATGGTTGCAAGAAATCGCTGACCGAGGATGAGAAAGTTCCGCTTTGGTCTTACGACTTCATGTAGGCTTTTGCAGCGTGTTATTTTCACCCTGCTGCATATCCTGATCTGTCACTAGCATCGGGGCTGGATAGTAAGAGTTCTTGATAGGTCAGTCGCTTTTTCATCGGAAGTCATAGGTGGCGACATACTAATTGCGAGCCAAGGAAAGCCCAAAATCCCGAAGTATCCGCTGATAAGATATGTACCTGGCCCGTCTCTCGGATTCGAATTCCCACGCATACATCTGCGCCGCACATTCTACTATATTCGCATGCCTTTTTCATCAGACTGGTTTTGCGACGGCATCGTTTTTGCCGCATCAATTTTCTTTTCGAGGTGACGTCTTTAGGCCTGGTAGAATTTATGGCGGTCATCGTGAGGGGTTGCCTTGATATCCAGCTGGGGTTTCTGGAAGTTAAGGAACCTATGTAGAAAGAAATAGGTAGCGGGAATAAATACTGCCGTGCAAAGGAGAGTTGCCAATTATGGAACGCAAAGAGACAACAATATTCCTCGAAAATGTTGAACGATCGGTCCTTTGCGTGTTGAACTCATAAAGATGACGGCCCCCCACAAAACTTGATGGGCAATCACCGGTGTCATTTGCGGCCATCAAATGAGTATCGCAACGTGAAAGCAAACCGTATCTTGGCTGCAATACCATTTACGTGTCCGCGACCTCATTGCAGCATAGTTTTAGCACCAGCAGGCCCTTTGCGTTAATTGGAGTAAATTAAACGTTCAAAGTTGACCAAGAACCTCAAAGAACTTCAAAGAGATTATATTATTAGATCAGTATCTCATACTACTACTTGTCTTTCCGCGAAATGACGTACTAAATCTATCCAAAGGAGCTACCATTTTACCTACCAATGCTTTACTCCAGATTCAAATCCACTGGCCAGTTCTATAACTATACAGTTTCGTGATTATCTGCGACCATCTTTAAATGGGTCTCCGTTAAAAACCCACAATTTTGGAAGTGACTGCATGACTTCAAGCGGATGACTACTTTAAATGCGATTCGTCGACAGTGCTCCCTTTCCTTCATCTCCATGTCCTCTATAAAGACGCCATTGTAAGAGAAAAATGATGTTGATGCCAAGAAGTGTGCCCATGTAAAACCAAAGATCGCACGGTAGTTCACTATACAATATCACGAGGAGTCCGGTGAATAGGGTAGGAAGAAACACGAAGCTTGATCGCATAGAGCCAAGCTCACATGGGTGTAGTTGTGTTGATATGGCAGATCCTAAGATCGTCTCGCGATAGCTTAGATGGAAGGGAGATTATGATCAGCCCTGCAATGATTTCTCGGATAGATATATACCTTAGAATAACACCGGCCCTGGGCAACGATGTGTGGGCCTAAGATATAAAGCTAATAACGGTGAATGAGGTGTGTTGCCTGTGGCATCAAGATTAGTCATCCTACTGGCGAACTATCATGAAGTATAAAGCTCCGTGATTTTCTTGCAATAGCTGGGAATCTTTGATACGCAAATACAGACTGATAATGGAACCCACGATCTTCTACGCCATGGCAGTGGGGTGCTTACTGACAATGCTCTTTCTCATTCGCATAGCCCCTTCCATTCTGAACCTAGTCAGAGGGCTGTCGTTCCTCATCACGAAGCACTTAACATATCCATACTTGTGGGGTCGCCATAGGCTGATATCTCCTTGCACTCGAGCTGATGCCTTGTCATACATCACGTATGCTGCAACGAATGTGTTTCTCATTGCTTTCAACACACCATCAACGACAATTGCTAGAGACCGCGCCGGAACCCTTTCACTGATCAACATGAGTATCCTGTTCTTGGCACACCACTTGGCATCCCTTGCGAATACCATTGGTGTTTCTTTGATGACGTGCAAGCGCATTCACGGGGCTGCGGGCTGGATGACTGGCATTCTCCTTATATTACATATCATCATGGCTATGATAACTGAGCAGAATGGCTGGAATCTTCATGAAAAGCCCAAACTCTTCGCATTAATTGTATGTCATCACTCTCGCCCAACCTGCCCTGCTAATCTTGTAATACTGGTCTTTCTCAGGGTGCTGTGATTATGGCCGCAATTCTATTATTATCCTTCCCTTTCGTTCGCCGTTTCCTCTACGAGCCGTTCCTTCGACTACACCAAGCCCTGGCCACAGCCTGCATATATTTTGTATGGCGGCATTTGCCATCCAATACTCTGCTGCCTCGGCTATATGTTTACATTACGCTTGGCATAATGCTACTTGCATTTCTCGTCGAACTTGTCTTTTTTATGGTTAGGAATGGTGTCTTTCCCCCCCGTCCCTATTCTCGTGCCTCTATTAGATGTGATCGGATGCAACAATCACCAATTCAGGGCAAAGAAGGAACACCGCTGAAAGTAAGGATCGCACTTACAAGGCCCCTACATGTCGAAGCAGGCCAATACATAAGTCTCTGGGTACCCGCGGCAAACCTATTCTCCTGGGCCCAGACACATCCATTCATGGTGACATCTTGGTCGCCAGAAAAGCAGGATGTCCTGGAGCTTTTTGTTCAACCTCGAAGTGGGCTGACTAGGACTATACACCATCGTACAGCTCTGGATGGCTATGCGTCCTTAACAGCATTTGTTAGCGGGCCGTATGGAGTCAGCAAATCTGTAGACCATTACGAATGTGTCTTGGCAATTGCGACCGATTTCGGTATAGCAGGTGTTATTTCTTACCTTAAAAAGCTCTTGTACGGATATAACACTTGCACGTCACATGTGCGCCGTGTACATTTCGTGTGGGAAGTCCAAACATTGGGTAAGTTCGGTCTCCACGGTCATAGCGCAGACCAATGATGCTTATTTCCCAGATATTGCGGTTGCAGCCCAACCACTTCTGAACAGCTTGTTAAGCGATGATATTTTGGACGACGGTTATGTGGGTTGGCTCTTCTTGTTTAAATGTCATCACGCTGATCATCTGAAAAAAAGATACTCGAAATGTCTTTCTATGTGGCATCAAACCAGATGATAGAGCACGGCAAGCCGTTCGGTCAGCATCGCCGTGCCACAGTTTTCAACGGAAAGCCTCGATATGAGGAGATTATATCAGAAGAAGCCTCCGGGAGAAACATCAAACGACTGGCGAACACGCATGAAGACCGCGGTGAGGTTCTAGTGATGGGTAAGTCTCTCACCTTGAACCACAAGATAGCCTCTTACGTCCTAGTATCCGCATCACATGACGCACGGGATCTCTTGAGAGGATTAGTCTGTAAACATCTCGAACAGAAAGTAAGGTTGCATGAGACGGAGTTTCAACCTTCATAAAGAGAAAGGACCAGTCTGTCGAGTGGAGGTGGGGGAGATGGGCGGGTGGGACCAGCGAATCCATTCGGCCACAGAGCCATCAACAAACCGTTCGTTCCAACGTTATTTATCACCGCACAACCGTTCAACTCGTCGATCAAATATCGTGTGTTCTATGGGTGTGATTAACTCCTGTTTCTTCTAGTCCCGGCGCACCTCACGATTAAAGCATAATCCACTGTCTGGTCAGCACCTGCTCCATCCAATCCTAATTCATCTCACCATTTCTTGAAAGTGTGTATTCCATTCTAACCACGACTTTGCGGTTGCGTCGACGAGCATTCATTAGACCATGGCGACCGGCAAAGTTACTTCAACAATACGACCATTTGGCCGGTCTGAAAACTTGTGACCAGGTGAGGAAAACGGTGGCCAACTGGTTCAGTTGATTCCGGTTTGGTCGCGACACCTTTCGAGTGTCGCGACCAAACCGGACCAAAACTGGTCACCGTTCAATATGCGCATTTCGGAAGCGCATATATTACCCATGTACTATTTTATAATTTATTTATCTTATTTTCTTGGCCTTTGCTTTCTCCTTTCATTGATCCAGCTATTTTAAATCAATGTCTGTTTCTCCTCACACTCTAACTGACTGAACTCGAGGCAATTCCTCTGCTACCCAGCTGTTCCCATTAGTTTCCACCGCCGTGAGAACTTGGCCATTGATTTGTATTGTCATTAAGCTGCAGATAAATGATGGTATCCCTTGACCCAGACATTTTATTCTCTCACGACAACTACAGAGTCGATGTTTTTGAGAATGACCCTGTTGATTGGAATGCCTGGCTCATACCAGAGGCACTCCACGATGAGAAATATTTGGCTACCTCACAACGCAGCTCTATCAGCCTGGATGACTGTATTGGGAGTCACCATTTACTGGGATACACTCAGTTTCAGTCAACACGGCCGGAAGTCTCTCCGCCATCAGATGAAACTTTACAGTTGACGTATCCCAACGACAGCAACAAAGAGATCATGATAACGGGTCTCCGAAAACCAGGCCCAGGTGAATATGCCTCTGCAAATCATGAAAACACAGAGATTCAATTCCAAATGATCAATAAAAAAGACCATCTCGATTCTTCATTGCCCAGTGAAGAACACCGGGGAAGAGTCCTTACTTCACCAACTTTCAAGTTTCCGGAAGTACAGGATATCGAAAGAGGGTTGTTCTACGAATACCAGCCGGTCAATCATTGGACCCAGGCACATGAGTACGTTGACTGCATCCAAGCAATATGCCAGATTTCAACTGGTGAGACATTGAGCGAAAAACAAGCTCGAGACATCCAAGACTGCGGTGATACTTTGATTGCAATTATACGTTCCGACGACCCGATTGCCGCCTTCGAGTCTCTTTTAGTCAAGTGTCACCTGCATACCTTACCAAGCATTGACTTTTATGACTTGAACTCGTCTCTGATGGCATGCGTGACATACCTGAGGTATTTAAACTCGGTCACTGGTTCCAGTTCGAAGTCAGACGATGTGAATCGTCGCCTTGCCCAAGTTTGGATCCATATACATTTCGAAAATTATGTCAATGATTTGAAGGAACGTGAGAAAAATGGTCTTCCGCTTAACCGACAACGTCGGGCAATCCCCACAGTAGCTAGGGATTCTATCTTGCAGGCTTTTCATGGGCGTCAGTTCGTGCCCCGAAAAGCAGATCGCGATTTTTTAAGCGATCAATGCCGCTGGGGCGAACGTTGGTGGAAAGTTGCTACTTGCATGGGACTTAGTGTGGTTCTCCTAGCCAGTGAAGACTTGGCAAATCAAATGTATGCTCATTCGTTTTTTTGTGGGATGGTTTCATTGCTAACTTTGATATAGAGGCAGAAGAACAGCGTTTCAGAATAAAATGGTAGACACGTTGGCCATTTATATTCTCAATCGTTACCCAGCTCTGATTAGACTTTATCGATCATTTGAGCCTATAGCAGTAGGCCTCATGCTTGGAGGTGATAATGTCTTCTCCAGGGACCAACTACACATATTCTTAAATGCGCTCGTGGAGGATGATGCAGATTCATGCGATCTAGAAAGATGGGTGGTCCCCAACCTCAAGTCCTTGTCGAAACTTGCTGCTTCCCGCTTGATATTTCTCCAGAGGTCCTAAGGGTATGTTTAGTTCGAGCAGGTGTTAAGCCAAATCAAGTATCTTGACGATGCCATCGTCTTTCTCCTCTGGCTCCTAGACCGTTACCCAGAGGGTGTGGGGCCTTTTCCGAGTAGCGATTGGCCTCTCAGCTAACGTAACTGAATCATGAACTCCAACCAATAAACCCATTGTCTTCTCCATACACGCTCTGGTTAGTGGTTGCGGATGGCACCACCTTCTCAGTCCCTGTCCCGGAGACCTTCGATAAATTCGTGGTAGAAAATAGTGGTCTTTGGAGGATTCTGATCTGCAGCGGCCTCCCGGCGGGCGGGCCCGTCGTGGTCTATCACCCAGCCTCCATCAGTCAATCACGCAGTATATAGAAAGTCCATCACAACCATCATGGATCTACTGTGCGGCAGTCACGGCTCATTTTTAGGAATGACACTTCATTTCCGTTTCAATCCGACCCCACAATCTATTTTACCCATAACTCTGGTATATATTTGGTTTTGTACCATGATACTCTGAATAGTTGGGATCTAGCCGCCGTTCGAGGATCTACAGGAAGAAATATAGCACTGCTAGGTCCAATTTTCTTCAGTGCTCAAGATGGAGCTTCACAACAGCTCTTTGTCGGAGCACACGAGCTGTCACCTTTAACTATCCATTTCAACTTATAATAAATCATATTTGTCTAGATACACGTTTAACGCATTTACTGAATATTTTTGACATGATATTGAAAGGCAAAGACGTATGATGACATCATTGAAACCAATAAGCAAACCAAGTCTCACAAGTTTTGATAAAGATCGTTTCCTACTTTCTCTCGTAGGAATAGAACATCCTTGCAGAGACTAAAATAGACCGAGCAAGAAGCATCAACTCTCCTACCAATCGATCTTTTTTGCGGACAAGGGGTTGCTGATAAATGTTAGTTGCATATTGATCTACTCGTAACATGGTGACTTGGGTTACCTTTTTCAAGGATTCAATGGACTTTGCTGTCGAGAGAGCGGAAAGAAATCCGAAGGCGTCCGAGTCGACAGGCCAACGATCCACGTCATCTACTCCCACCATTCCATCATCTTTCACATACTTCTGCATGATTTCCATGGTAATGGAAGGGAGTGTTTTGATGTATACATTCTGTGCCTGACCCGGCTGACGTTCTACGCACATCTCCAAACTGGCTATAGCGAGTTAAGAGAAATCATTAAAAGGAGGCACCTGCCACTTACCGATCTTGATAACACCATCTAGGCCGAGAAGAATATTCCGGCATCTCAGAGACTGATGTTCTAATCCAGTTTCATTGAGGTAACATAAACCATTCAAAATCTGCATTGTCATGAGCTTAATATAGCCGAATTGTCAAGAGCCACATACCTGCCAAATTATGGAAGCTAATTCCGCCTCCGTGGGATAAAGAGACCGACACCCCACAAGTTGCTCCAAAGTAAGCTGGAGGTCGTTAACGAGAGCGTACAAGTACCCTTCATTAACAAAGCACTCTCGGGCCGTCAATACATTATCGTGATCAAGGATATCATACAGTCGTCGCATTTTAGCTACGTCCCCTTTGGTGTACTCCCGAATGGCTACCACCTGGAACGGACGGGAACGGCGAGCTGCAATGAACACCTCGCCCGCCAGGTTACACTTGAGTGTCCGACGATAAGTGTCCCAGGGTGATTCTTCCCTCACGACCAGCCGGCGAGATGTACCGCTCTCGGACACCTGAGGCAAACCGAAGTTTTTTGGGCTTCCACTCACAACCTTTCGTGTATGTTCGATCCGGGGAGAAGCCTTTCTCTTTTTTGAGTTGAAACTACTATCCAAGTGAGTGGGTGCATCAAGCTGGTGTGGTTGTTCGCCCAAGGGTGACTCTCGTGATAAGTTGTTCACAAGCTGTTCTTTGTAGCTCTTGAAGTCAATCGCCGTGCAGTGCTTATCTTGTGTCGACATATTGGGTTAGATCAAGATGGTCGGAAAGAAAAATGAGTTAGAAGGATGTAGCGCTCGAAGGCGAAGATGGTCCTATTTATAATGCAATTATATCAACGGTACTAAATATATTTTGGGGAGCAGCCGGGCCCGGCTTTTGCAATCACATTGGTCACCAGGACGCTGAATCAGCTAAGTGGACCCTTCCTACTGTGAGGCCAAGACCAGTTAAATATAAACAACCGATACTCTCCCGCTACGTAGATTCTGCTTCATCAAAAATTATGGACGAGCCTATATACACAGACCTCGAGCTGCAGATTCTGACAGAAAGGTGTCGAACATACCAAGGAACAGCCAGGGTTAACATCAGCCAGATTACCCCCCACCCATCTGTCTCGCAACATATGAACACGAAGAACGTGGAAAGACTCTGTCAGATATTTGACAAAGAAGGTTGTCGAAGGCTCGATATCTACAACCACGTGAGCGCTGTTGTGTCACGGCAGCAACTCCATGAGGCTCTTCAAGCAGGGCGAGTAAACGCCGCTGACTTGATGACTGATCAACCTAGTCGCTACCCACACCTGCATTTCTCCACTGGTTCCATACAGTACCTTCATGGCCAACATCGATTAAAGGCTGGAGAACACTGCTTACCATCGATAGATCAATGGTGGACTGTTGACTTGTACTTGGATGGTAAGCCAGGAATCCCCCACATCCTTTCCCGCACGAAGCCCCTCTTGACAACACCAAGACATTAGTTCGAATCTTCAAACTAGCCTCGTTGACGAATATTCCAACGAGAGGGTTCCAAGTGATGGCGAAATCTACGTAAAAGTCCGCCAATATCGAAATCAAGCAAATGCAAACTTCGAAAATCGATGGTTGGCACGACTGTCAGACAACAAAGCCAGGCGACTTCGCGGACTGGAGTCTCATCCAAACGTTCGAGCTGCTTTTGATTCATTACTCGCCCTGCCTTCATTGTTGGTACACGGCATGCAAATTGGATCCCTTCCCCAGGCGCTGGCTATTTGCTGCGACGAGGTAGGATTATCTGACTTCACATCAAAAAGTCGCTGATTCCCGTTCGTAGGAGATAGTTCACGCGCTAACTAGGCTACTGCAATACTGGTCATCCCTCGTGGGACACGATCGTGCTAAAATGCTTAGAATTGACACTCATACCGTGGAAACACTGCAACTCCTAGCACCTGGTGTCTCCTCCAAGGATAGAACCACAGTGAAAGGCTTTGTACACAGTGGCGAAGTCTTTCCAAACTTCACGGAATCAGAACGGTCATCGATTTGGAAGCGATTGAAGAAAACAGAGGGCATCATTCCATCTCTGTATACGTTCTTTAAAGATCTTTGGTACCTAGAATCATGCGTGAACTGCATCAAACAACTCATCACACCTTCCAGATCTTTCCCAACGATCGGAAGCGCCGTGCGCGCGGCCTTTTTGCCTTTCAATCTCGCCCATGCAGAGTTCTTGATACAAACTTCTGAAACTGGGTTTCGGTCTTATTCGCCCTCGCAGGGAGACCCTGCGGAACTTGGTTACCGACAGCTCTGGCTTTATGCTATGCGTCACTACCCGAAGTTATCCAAAAGGCCGCAGAAGAAAGACCCTACGGCGAAGCCTACACGCGAGGTGGTGGAGCCTATGATACTTTATGACATGGCTGTACTCGCAAAGAGACTTGGGTTTCAGTCGCCACAAATTGAGCAACTCGTCCAGCAGTCGCCAGATCGGAAAATTGCACGAGATGCTCTTTTGAGAGCGCGTCGGCCAGATCTTTATCGGTACAACGAGGAAGAAGTTGAGTCTCTGATCAACAAAGTCACTGAATGCTTCTCAAGGGCCACCCCGCTTGACCATCAACTTCCAGTGCAAAGCGTTGGTGGAAGGGAAACGAAAAAGAGTCTCGATGTGGACGTCCGCAGACCCAAGCACAATTGCAAGATTGTCGGTTTCTTTTCCTTGACCAAATCCACGGTGACTCCATCAAAGAGGAGCGGAAGGCTACTTCTATTCTGGTGAGGAGCAGTGTTTACTTCACCTTTTTCAGCAAGCTGCCAATACCCAGTGTGAATGGCGACACAACAGGCGTATCTCCAAATCCTGACTTGCCGATGTCTCCGCTTTTTGTCCCCAACAATCGTTCGCCGCAGGATGAAGGGGCAGAAGAGATAGGGGTTGCGGGCATAGGAGCCGAACAGGCAAGCAGCCTAGAAAGGCAACAGTTGAAAGATGCACGCCACGAGCGACGCCAACAGAAGCGAGCAAAGAAGTTTCGGAGGCGACAGCAACGAGAGCAAAGGAGGCACCACTCCTCACGTGCCGACCGTCATTCGACATTTTCCAGAAACTTGTCAACACTACCTCCCCAGTCTGGCATGGAAATCGACCGCGTTTATTCGGAAGGTAGCGGCATGAAAGAGGCATTGGAACCGATCGCCGAGACCGAATCCGGATCATCTGGAAGGATGAGTATAATAGGTGAAAATGAGCAGGGTCTTCCTGATATGGACCCGTCGGTAGCCGATGAACTTGAACACGGTGAACCTATTGAGGAGGAGCAAAGTTTCAGCGAAAATGAAGAATTAGAAAGCCACGCTGAGTTAGGATTCGAGGACGAGCAGCCGCGAGGAGGGAGGGAAGAGAGCATAGCTGGGAGGGAGTCCCTGGAAGATGCTAACATGGGAGAGCATGCAAGCGAACAAGAGGACGAAGCCACAGAAACAGCAGCGCCACCTTCTCCGGCGGAAGAAGTTCAAAAGGCACTGGATACGTTAGAAGGACGTAGGCGATCCAGGATCGAATCGGGGCCATCTAGGATTGTGGGTACACCATATGACCCGACACAGCAGCGTCAAAAAACGCCAAAGCTATCCATACCGGCCCAGGAAACTCTGGAGCAGGATATAAACGCACTGCTACAAACGGCCGCCCAGGAACCGACAGCAAGACCTACTACTGAGATTAATTTCCTCGAGGCACAGCGTCGTCCTTTGTCAGGAATGAATGAAGAACAGAGTTCATGGCCCATGGTTAGTCAAGTTGGACAGACTCGGGACCGGCAGCAGGCAGGACCGGAAGAATCCTTGGGCTCAGCCGAGTTCGACCCGCAGCCAGAATTTCCGAGCTCTATCGATCAGAGCTCTCGACGCAATGGGATGGCAAATATCCAGGCCGAACAGGAAGCACGACAGTCGGAGTCTATATCGCCAGACGCATCTCCGCACGTTCACGTCGTCGCAGATGCTCCACAGCAGGACAATGTGACGGAGCGTCCCTCGTCGTCACCACGAATGAACATAGCCAGGCCAGAGGAGCCGTTGGGGAAACAAGACCGATCTTCCGGACGAGGACAAGGAGCGAACGACACCACCAAGCGCCCTGAGGTAACAATCATGTTCCGTGCACGTGATGAACAGGGCGAATGGAATCGCTTGATCCACAAAATGGTGGTTGAGCGATCGGACCCATCTCCAGTGGGGCGGATGGCAGCCAAGCAGGCGCGAGCACGCAAGGCAACCTATTATGACCAGAATCTACGGCAGGTTCCCCCTGGGCAGTGCTTCGATGCGGCAATTGCCGACGGCACGAACACGGTTTTTGTGACATTCGGCGACGACCTGGCTGTAAATGAAGAGACAGTGGATTCCATCACACGGGCACTCCAAGCCGACCGCGATGATCATCGGCCGGCGAAACGCAAGCAGACTTGAACCATTGAATGTATGCATCTTTAGATTTCGATCCAAAGATCTGTGTCTCATATAGACGGTAGTCAGCGGACCTGTGGCCCCCATGGCTACACGGCCATACAGGCCGCCAGTTGACAGATTCAAGGCTGGTGCAGACCTAGAGCTGTGGACGTACGTCCAAAGTGGATCCACGTCCACAGCCCTCAATCTGCGGCCTCGAATCAACTGTTCTAGGTCTCGGGGCCTAAAGCCAAAGCCTTCCCACCACAGCTCCCAAACCACGGACCCACATCTCCAGACTCAAAGCCCGCCTGGACACGGCTCCACAGCTCTATTACATGACTGGCCTTAAGGCAGTGGGGTTGTGTCTCTGTCAGCCTGAGGACAACACAGGCCAGAAAACGCTCTTCCTACATCCATTAAAGCTCCATGTCCCCAGACTTGCCACCCCCCAATGTATAATACTGCACAAGAAGCGCCTGCCCAGCCTGAATCCATCGTAAAGCTCATTTAGCCTCGACCTCTTGGTAAACGTCCCTAAGGGGGTGCTTAAACCCTCCAGTTTGATACGGAGGGTAAGACGGGCGAGCTTCTTACAGCAAGATCAATCTCAACCTCTATGCTCGTATGGGTCCTGGATACCCCCTTTTCCCGCTAGCAAATGACGCAGGTAGCGGGCTGGACGTTTGAGCGGGGAGAAGATTTCGGACCACGAAAGAGATTATCAATTTCGTGGCCTTGCTCCCAGCATGCTGAGTCAGCGTACTGGGCCAATCACACGACACATGTGTTAGCCACTGATAATTATTTAAACTCACATTGCTCACTTCTTTCGATGCTCCCTCCTGTATATAGTGATGCCTCGAGTTTAGTTGATAACACCGACGGATGATCTCGTTATGGTTCAAGTACGGCCAGAGTAAGTACGCTTTCTTTTCCTCTGGAAGCGTTATCTAAAAACACCCAGTCACTTTATATCCCCCCCTCGCATACCTGGAGGTTGGCCCCAATGGGAAGAAATTCGCTGCGCCTAGTGGGATAATCCAAAGCCTCCAGTGTCGTTACAAAAGTTCGCCCGAAATAATTTATGTGGTTGACGACGATGTTGAGGATATCTTTGGCCATATCCTTCAGTACCTTCACAGTGGGGACTACTCTGTCCTTATTCCAGCAGCCGATAAATCGAGTCATGCTTCATGCGAAGATGAAATCGATATTGCAACGCAGGATCTACTTCCTTTGAAAAATAATTATTTTGCGAGTCATGAAGATATCCAGGTGAAGACCGACAATTCGATATCTTTGCCGCATTGTGGAGATGGAAACCACCTGTGCAAACATCCCAAGACACTGCTGGTGCATGCTCGTTTGTTTGACTTCGCTACTAGACATGGATTGGACCAACTTCGAGATGTGAGTTTGAACAAGCTTTACTGGACTCTCTCGGAATATCCGTTAGATTCAGAACAAGCGGATGCAATCGTCGAGCTTTTACGGGTTGCCAATGGAATAGGCACCATCTATGCGCTAATGATTCACTACGTATCATTGCACCTAAAGACTTTCATACGTTGTTCCAGTTTTATCTCGTTCTTGGAAGAAAACCATCATGTCAGTTTCCACTTGTTCAATCTCTTATGTGCTTCCCTATGAGCCTTTATTCTTCATAGAAGAGCCTAGAGCGCTGAAAGTATCTTGGGACATTGAAATGAGATCACGTGCCCATGGGTACGCAAGCCAGTCTTAGCAAGACACACCCGGGAAATTAATTTCAGTCATAGTAGTTAAGCTAGAAGATTTGCCTCGATTGGTTTCCTTATAATACCTTCTTCAGCCTCCTCCAGGTCTTGATCCATAATTAAAAATGGGGTCGGATAATATGTAGGAGGCCTAGAAACGTTAGCCTTGGTCATGTGACTTGTTTCTGCCTGCATACTACTTGCGACCCAAGAAATCCCCAAAATCCCGAGGCATCCGCCGATAGGATAAATACTTGGCCCGTTTCCCGAACCCGAATCCCGACGCAGACGTCTGCTTCACACAACCTACTATATTCGCGTGCCTTTTTCATCAAATTGATACCATCTTTCGTATATGTGGAGATCAGACTGAAGTCACTGACTAATGTGCGCTAATGCAGTCATAACTAGCCGATAGTTTTGGTGTGTAAGCGCTGAAGACAAATCTTCCTGCCCCGCACTCACGGTTGTAACACCCATCCCCCAACTCATGCGAGAATGTTGGACAGAATACCCGCAGAAGTCGTTCTGCTAATCGCTGACCACGTAAGTTCTTCTGAGGATCCATCGGAAAGAACAAATAATCAAACAGGATAGATCCGACAAAAACGCGATTTACTCAGTCTTTCACAAGTGTCGAAGCATCTCCTCCATTCAATAACGCCAATTATATACAAATCGATTACACTATCCTCCAGCGAATGGGATATCTCAAATCTGAAGACGGGCCTTATCCTGAAGTACAGCGCTCGCCATGTACGTTTCGTGAAGAGTCTCGAAGTAGCCGCCCCCTTTCATCGGCGTCTCCGCACACGCTGTTCTGAAGAGAGCGACTTGGAAGATGAAGCTTCTGAGGGGAGTGATGATGGTGTGGTTGAGTTGAATAGAGCTGTCAGCACGGATAGTTTCTCTAGTGAAGATCTTGATATCGACTCGAGCGAAACTGTTACTGCTTCAATCGGCATTGAGTTGGAGGGTGCCGTTATGGACTGGGATGCACGGACAGAAAGCACAACTTCGGCAACTGTGCCAACCCACGATGGGCTTATGATGAACCTAGAATCCCATTTAATACCTCTCCTTGAGTGTATTCCCGAAGGACAACTTCAAATGTTCAGGTATCACTATCTTCTTATTTTAGGGTGAGGATTTTCAAGCTGACGAGTCAGTTGGAATCTCGGTACATGTGTGCCGAAGAAAGTCATCCGATCCTTGTCAGTAAGACAACCCCAACTAGGGTCATTATCAATTATCAGCGATTCCAGCTGTGTACATGACCTTTCTTTGTCTCTGAATGGCTTGGAGGAACTCGACTGTCTACACTCTGCTTACTTTGTTCCTGCGGATCATAGACACGAAACAACCATTGGCAAACTTCTGCAGCGAAATGCACACAGCTTGAAAAAAATTGCTTTTCATCGGCAGGATCCTTTTGGTGATCGTGACGACTGGGAACGAATTGATAAGCGGAATTTCTTCATTCATGAACTGCTCGATTCACTCCCTGGCACTGGATGTCCTCTTTTTAGTTCCCTCAGAAACCTGGAGCTTTCGTTCGTCTCCTTTCAAAACGGAATTGATGACATGATGACAATGCTCAATTTTTCTCAGTTGACCTCTTTGAAGTTACGGGACTGCTTCAGGATGAATGAACTCTTTATGTCGCTTGCGCACTCGTCACAGAGTGTGCAGCTAAAATGTCTCGAAGTCAACCTCACAGGAGCTTACGTAGAGCAGACTGATGTCATGCCACTGATCCTATTTCTGCGATCTTTTCGTGGGCTGCGGGATCTTTTCATTCTCTGCCGGCCTCTGAAAGAGCAAGCGAATGATTTTTGGCTCTCTATCGATCATCAGAAACCGTCGCTGCAAAGGTTTATCTATCAGCAAACCACCCTTTACGAGAGCCGCTGTGACCCTGAGCTAGACACCTTGTGGGGTTTGGATTCCGTTCATTCCATAGGTATCTGTTGCAAAACACAGGAATTGGTGAGGCTCGTTATATCTGGGCGTTATCACTGGAGCTGACGGTCATTCTACTCACAGCTGAATTCGCTGAGGAATTCACTCTTGCGGCCAAAGATTACCTTCTTACATGTTCGTCAGACAGGGCTATTCAATTTTGACGTAAAGTACGAAGCGACGACTGAAAGGGCTGACTTAATTTTCTCGGACTCGTTGCCTTCAATTATTGAGTTTGCGAAATGGGCATTCGGTCCAGACGGACTTCCAGAACTACAAATCATGGCATACGGGGATTTTACATATCGCGGGCGCCAGCCAAGTATCGCTTGGGGCCGATTGGAATATGTGCCGAAAGCCAACGCATTTCCGCGAAAGGATGATTTGCCTTTTCGGGAAATCGCTGGAAATGATATTAGGCTATGGGAGCGCTTGCAGGACAATCTCGACTTTCTAGAGGCCTGTCCCGAGGACTCGCTGCTGCATCATTTTTAAGGACCAAACAAAGATCTAACTTGAAATACATCTTGATTGATCTCCGAGATTGTTCGTACTTTTCCTGACGGATGTTGTAAATTGCTTCATTTACCCCCTGCTCGTGCTCGTTCTCCTCGCGCGCTGGATCCGTATGGAACTTCTCTGGTCTATATTCTCACTGGATACGGCAAATGCGATTCCATTCCAAATTGGAAATAAAGGGATACCGAGTCAATGGCTTCATTCATTCATGGCCGGCCTATTCTTGTTTTTGAAGTCCCTGCATCGGATTCGGGCACCGCCAGCGACTCCGCACGCGATGCACGTCAGAAGCATGGCGCTGGAACGCCATTCGATGTAGCAGGCCTACTTCACACCAGTTGCATTTGAATGGTTCTTCTTTAAGATGAATAGCATCAAAGTGGCGCGTAACACACCCAGAATCATGAAACATCTGAAAGCGAACCTTGTCCGGAAGCCCTTCATTTGCGAAGCATTGAAAGCATGCCTCTGGCTGCTTAGCAGTTTCAAGGTATTCCCTGGTGGCATGTAACGGCTTGCCACGTACAGGGGCAGGCACCTTGCATGAGTCGATATCACTTCGGGTCTGCTGAAAATCCTTCGACTGGGCTATCGGTCCAGTTGGCGAGGCAGATTTAGGAGCTTTCTTTTTAGGCCGGCCCCTCAATGGGCCTCCTTCAAGGACGTCACAATACTGGACAACCGATGCAGTACCCGTATCGCGCCGATTCCACTCATCCTCTAACGAGTTAGAAGCGGGATAGGAAAAAAGACTCTGCACGAGATGTAACTGAAGGGGGTGCATGGTGTCCTCCAAAGGTGAGTCTTCGCTCTCTTCCTTAACTGCGGTACCCGACAGCTGCGCCTCGATATCCAGGAAGGCTTGCTCTTCATCAAATTTCTCTCGGATCTCATGCCGTAAGCTCCGGTGCAACCTTTTTCGCGTATTCCTCACCTCCTTCTCCCGTTGCTGGAGTCTAGGAAGCAGACCGGGTTCCTGGGTCTCCTCGTACTGCGCGCGGATATTACCTAGGTTGCGCCGTGCCTCTTCCAACTCAGGATGTTCTTCGACCTCTGCCCTTTGTTGATCAGTCAAGTAGCGTGGGCGTCGCGTGTCTCGCCAACGGCTTTGCCGTGTGACAGCTCGCATCAGTTCCACATCCGGGTCAAGGCCACAGATCACCCGGACCATGTCAGTGTCGATTTGCAGGGGATGATAGTGGTTGAGAAAGGTGCGGGGGCTGGCATGCTTCATGATCAACATATGTTGTTCCTTGCTCACCCACCCTGCGGACTACATCAGCCACTCAATTGATAAGACAGATCAAATTCACAATATTACGGAAGAACTCACCACTCTCGTTGATCACTTTACCACTTCCATACCGGAACTGATGGGCGTGAAATGCCCCTTTCCATCCGCGAATCTCGCCAAATGTGACCAGTAAGGTGGAAATCGCAGACTTAGGCATCTGTATAGTCCGTTTAATAGTTGGAACGCCCTTGACCAACTCCGTTTTGCAAAAGATATACCACTCAGACTTTTTCGGATCTAAAGGCACCAGAAGCTGCTCACAGCCTTTGCTGATGAAAAGTTTCCGCAGCTGAGCCTTCGAAGTCAGCCCCTGATTCCGGAACGCCCGCGCGTGAAACAGGATGCCAAAAAGCAATGTGTGCGGGCATATCACCAAAGACGGCCCGTAAACGATCTCGGGAAGTGCAAAAGTAGTTCTGTTGATGGGTTAGCTGTATCACACTAGTCAGCCATTCGGGAGATGACAAGAAGGTTTCAAGAGATATGATATATCCGGGGGTGAATGGGGAGTTGAGAGGGAGAGGCAAAATTGCGCTTGCCGTACAATTTGGTAAGACCGAGGAACTTTTTAGTTCCTTCGGGGGTAAGTTCGATCATAGGGACGGGTGGGCCTCCACGGGGATCCTTCTGAAGGGAGATCTGCAGGTCCTTGAACTGCAGACTCAACAGAGCGCTTTTCCGGTGCAGCGTAAAGATACCGAGAGAGTTGAACAGACACACTTGGATACGTTGAAATCCTAGATGGAACTTTTTCTCCTGTGTCGATAAGATCGTTTCATTAAACGGGCCGATATCCTCGATATAAACCGGCGTCTTCTTTCCAGGCTGCGTGTCCAAGCAAAATTCCTGGACCAGGTACTTCATACCCTATAATTAATGGTAAGTCAAGGACATCAAGCTAGATTGGGATAAATTTGGAGGCATAACGACCCTTCGTATCTCTGAGCCATCTTCATCATTGATCACAATCTTGGTGAGCTTCTGATAGTACAGACGAAGGTTTTTCCAGTCTGTCTCGAGTGTGCTAGCTTTGTTGATGCCTTTAATATGCCGACCGTTCTCGCCTCGCTCGAGCTGGAGGCACCAGCGTAAGAAACGATACATAGTGTTGTTCGACGCCTGGCGCAGCGCCTCCTCAGCCTCGCGCCATTTTGGCTCATTGGGCCTATTTCGCACTTGGCTAACACAGTACCTATACCTACGTTAGGCATCTCCCCGTCAAGGTCTCCGGTAGCGATGTACCTCAGTGGGTCACTCACCTTTTCCACCGACTCTCAATCCGCTCTCGTCGTTCAATAGTACCCGGTGCTTTGTCGAAATCCTCGGGGATTTCAGAGAGATCAACCCCACCCTCATCCAGTGGGTCCTCGTAGAGCTCTTCAGCGTCATAAGAGGCCTCTGGCTCCAAGGCAAAGTTTTCCTCGTGTCGGAGACGTTTTCGTGGGCTGGAAACGTCTTCTAGCTCCGTCAGATCCGTCTCATATGTAGCATCGCCCTGCTCTGAATCGCTAGAAGTAGCCGCAATGATGTCATCCTCGCCAGAGTCGCTTTCCGGCTTTCTAGTCCGCTGGCGTCGAGAACGCTTCATCGTCAAACTCGGCGGGATTGAAGGGACGGCGAGGGTTCGGAGGCAGAGGAATGAGAATAAAATGAAGTGGCTGGTAGATCAAGAGTAGACGGTCGGTAACTGTGTTATGTTTTTGGGACAGTGCACCGACGGCTGAGCGAGCAGAAATGACAGATCAAGGAAACACGAAGAAGAGAAGAGAACAGGCGATGGGCAGATAAGTAGTCTCGGTGGAGTGAGAGGGAGAGCTGGGGGAGCAAGGAAAATATACGGAAGAGAAAGGAGCCATGGCGGGCAGATAGCATCTTGACCAGGTGCTGAGACAGTGAGGCCATTTTTGGCGCCTTCGCGAACGCCGAGCCAAGACTGGCCTTTGCTGAGGTACAGGAACTGAACTGAACGATTGTAGGTGGGGCGGGGGTCTCGTGTGAGTGGGTCTAAATGGTGCGTGGTGATAGCTAAACATGGGCGTGTCAGGACAGCGTTGTCACGTGTTACCAGATGACGGCCGGAACAGGCGTAACTCGAGGCCGAAAAGGGCTGCCATTTGGTAAGCCCAAGTTGTTGTAGAGTAAATTCGAGATTTTAAAATTATTTAAATCAGTAGAGAAAGTAGATATATAAGAATTAGTAGAGATTAAGGATATAGAGGAATTAAAAGCGATTTAGATCTTATAAGAATTAAAAGAGGTCTAGAAATTGCAAAATTAGTAAATAGCTAACTATCTATTAGAAAATTAATAGAAATAAATCTTATAATCTTTATAGAGAAGTATTTAAATAGAATCAAAGTAAATTGATCTCTATATACTTATTTTCCTAATTTAGTATTATATTAAGACTTAGATAAACTAGCTTCTTTGATTTTATTGAAAATAATATTACAAAAGTAAATTATCTTCTTTATATAGATATTATAGATTATATAGTAATTCCTAATATCGTAACTAATCAAATAGCCCTTATTTATATAAGAATCAAGTTTATTAATATATTATTCTTTATTAATATAATATCAAATCTAGTAACCTAATATCTAGAGATAAGAGATATCTAGCTTATAGCTATAGAAAGCTTTATATAAGGTTATATTAATTTACAAATAGTATAATTAATTGATTATATAATTTACTTTTTATAAAATAAATAACTAAAGATACTTTAAAAGCTGATTTTTAATTATTATAATAATTATAGATTCTACTAAATATCTATTGGACTATTTGACAACGTTATTTAGCTATTTTGTATATAGGGATATCGGAGATATAATAATATCATAATACTTGTAAAAAACCTAAATAGGCTTATAAACAAGGATATTATCTCTTTAAATCTATTTAATCTTAATCTTAAACTACTAGTCTAAAAAACTAACCACTTTTTATAAATTTAAAAGGATTTTAATTATTAATTTTATTATAAAAACTTATATATAATAGAAGGTATTATTAGAAATCATTATAAAGTAGATCTTATATTTATAGCCTATATAAAAATAGGGTTTCTAGATATTAAAATATAATAAATCATCTAGTTTAGTATAAATTTGATATTCTTTATCATATAAAAGCTAATAGCTTTTAGTATTAATATAAAGAATATAGAGATAGATAATATCCTTATCCTTTTTAAGGGTTATATTAATAGTATTATACTCTATCTTATAAACTTAATCCTTACTAGTATAATAAATATAATAATAGATTAAATCAATAGAAATAAGGTTATTCTTGTATTTCTTAATAACATTAATATCTATAGAAATAAAAACAATTATATTTATTATATTTGCGATAGCTTAACTATTTTAGATCTAAAAACTATCTTCTAGATCATTAATAAGATCTTTAGATAAAAGTAGATTAATTAAAGGCAAATAGATTATTTATATAATACAAATAAAGTATTTCACTAAATTTAATAAACCCCTTAGATATTTAAGCTAATAGTGATCTTTAATAAGATTAATAGTATATAGGTCTATAATTTTAGACCTATTTTTACATGAGAAAATAGCCTTTTTAATCCTAAAGCTAGTTTGATAATCTTATTTATCAAGTGCGGAGATAGAGATTAGATTATTATTCAATTTTAGGACAAGCTAGACCTTTTAAAGAAGCAGTCTTTTAAGATCTTAAGCTATAGGATCTCAAATAAATAGAACAATATTATTAAAGCTTTTAATAAAGAAATATTAATTTATTATAATAATAATAGGTATATGATAAGATTTAAAATTAATAAAAATTAATTAGAAAGATATTATATACTTGGAAATGCTAGAATTGATTATCTAATTAAATTCGTTAGACGACGATAGAGAAATAGTAGTATTCTTTAACACCTAAATACTGACTTGCTGTGTCTAAAGGTTATTGTAATAAACGAATACTAGATTAATAACTACTATGTTAGCTTATATATTATATACGAGAGAGGCTTTTATAGATACAGTGGTTATCGTATTTATTAAATTGCTAGAATTATTAGATTCCTTTTTCTTTAGATAGTAATCTTTGGGTTTATAAATATCCTAAGATTTGTGATATTAATAATAATAAATATTCTTGTTATTTTTATATTTCTTAGATTTTAGAAGAGTTGATTCTTTACCTTTATTTTTAATATTCCTTTTATTATCTTTAGATAAAAAAGTATCTAAAGACGGTGGAATATTCTCTAGAGAGATCCTAATGGTTGTCGAGTTTGTGAAAGGAAGATTTGTTGATTTATTATTATTAGAATAAATGTATTAGATTGATTTATTAGTTATTTTGAAAGTATAGAATTCCTAATATATAGTATATATATTCGTCGATTTGAATATCTAGATAAAAATATTATAGTAGGGATTTAATATGATTACGATTATAAAAGTTGTATATTCTTATTTAAAGAAGATCTTATTTAATATAATAATCTTTTTATAGTTGTAAAGTACTTTTTAGAACTTATTTATAAAGTTAGTGGTATTATTATCTTTATAATAAAGCTTATTTTATATTTTGAATCTTTATATAATTATTTAGGATAATCTTTATCTATAGAGTTTCTTAAGGATAATAAAGGTTTTAAAGGGTATATTATATATTAAAATTATTAATTTGATATTAATATCTATATAGATATTAAAATAATTTATAATTTGGGAATAAGTAATAACCTAAATACTCTAGTTCTATTAGAAACCATTTTAAATCTTGTTATTAATTTTATCTAAGGATTTTTAAACTTTATTAAGATTAGATATAATTAAAGTATCAATATCTTTTTTAGAATTATTAAAATTGATAAGTTAGGATTTAGTTATCTTTCTAAGGAAGTATTTACGTTTAATAATATTATTATTAATAGATATAAAACGTGATTATATAAAAGGACTAATAATATCTAATATAATATCTTTAAACGCGTTATTTTGTATATTTAAAATATCTAGAAATTTAATCTACTAGTTTATTTAGTTAGGCTCTTCGTGAAATTTGGGGACGTTCTTGAAGTAATAGATATTGATAGAAGAAATAAAGAGGTTCGATTTAAATTACATAGTCTATATTTTGATAGATTTAAGCTTTTTATTTACTAAGTTAATATAGAGCTTGTAATTACTAGCAGATAATTTAATAAAAGAAAAAAGGATTTTAGATATATTAAGAGATAGAAATATATCTTTGATAGATATAGACTATATAATTAGATTGAAATTAGGGATTAAGAGTAGGAAATAGGTTGTTAAAACGCGAGGTGATTTAAATAACGACGAAGTTATAATAATAGGACTTTTTATAACCTTGGATAGTTGTAGCTATTAATGGTTATATTATATATATATAAGGATTAGTAAATATGTTATGATATCGTTATTATGTTAAACTGTTGTAATGGAAATCTAGCTATTGTTTATTGGTAAAAGCTACTTATTAGAAGAAGAGTTTGTAATTATAAGATGTGAAGAAATTATACTAACTCTTAATTTGTATAGGGATTGCTAGTACAATAGAATTGGAGGATTTGATAGAGAAGCGATAGAAATGTTGTCATGGCGAAACACGAGGAATTAGTAGGGCAACGAGGTATTAGCGGGGATTGTAGGGATTGATAATAATAGAGATATTATCGAAACGGGAGGATTTAATAACAATAAAGATATTAGATTATTGGATTAGGAAGGTAGATCTGGTATTGAGATAATCTCTTAGGATGATTGTTGTAGATAGGTGATCCTTCTGATTCGTTAGGGTTGTTGTTAAAGCGGGGAAGCTTTGGTGGGGTTGATTGGTTGGCTTGGTGTATAGAGTTGGGGTAAAAGCTTTAGCGGTTGATGGTTAATTAATAGTGTGCTAAAGGACTTATAATCTTTTGGAAGGTCTATAAGATTGTAGGTAGGAAGAAAAGGAGGCTATTTGGAGAATAGTATTTGTGTGTCTGAAGAGAAAGAAAGAAGAAGAGAGAAGCTATGGAGGAGTGAGAACTAATAGGTAGGAGGGTCACGGTCATGTGATCTACTAATGATAGGAACTCCCTTCTAACAAATCTAATCTTATTAAAAATATTAATATAAATCTTGATTTAATAATTAGTTTTAGATATTAAATTAAAAAAGAGAATAATAAGTTTATATAATATATCTAGCTTAGTATATATCTTTTTTTTATTGAAATTTAATATTACTAATATATATTAGGATTAGTAAAATTAAAAAGTATTTATTAATAGTAAAATTAAAAAGTATTTATTAATAGTAAAAGAAATATAAGATTAAATTCTTAATTTTTATAAATCTTATTTATAATATTTTTATAATCTTTATAATTAATATTAAAATTAAATATCTATTTAATTTAATTTATAATATTTACTATTATTAATATAACTTATTAAATATAAATATTATTAAAGATCTTATATTCTATAATATATATTTAATTAAATAAGATATATAAATAAGATAAAAAAAGAAAAATTAATCTTTTTAAAAACTAATAGAACCTATTAATAAAGATAAAAAAAGAAAGAATAAATTTATGAAGCTTTTAAAAAGATATCTAACTATTATTATTAAATAAAGCTTTATATATATAAAAAAAAATAAAAAGATTATTAAACTATCTCTTCTTTTATAATCCTAATAATAAATAAAGAGAACCTATAAATAAATTAGAAAAGATGATTTTATAAAGTACTAATTAATATTCAGAATTAGTAATATTTTATTAAAACCTCAATCTAATTTTAAATTTCCAATTATTAAATAATCCTAATATCTTTTATTTAATATATAAACAAAATATACAAAAATATAATTAAATTATATATAATTTATATATTTCCTATTTATCTTATTTAACTAACCTATTTTACCCACATAACCCAGCGGATTTCAAAACTGGAACCGTGACCTAATCCGCGGGTCGGATTGGTAACCCGTAAACCCGTTTCTTAGCGGGTTTTGGGTAACCCGTAACGGGTAACCCGCGGGTTGTGTGGAGGTCTAGTCACGGCCCAGCCGGATGGCGCACTGTTTCCCATAGCAAGGCTGATGATAAACTCGGTGCTTCGCCCGACACTGCGAATCTGAATCCCGATGCGATGAACGAGGATTTTGCGGGCGGTTTTGATGTGGAGCCTGATTCTGAGTAGACATTCTTGCCTTGATACCGGATACCTGTTTCCAAAATTCTTGTACAATATTCGATCCCTAGGTGTTGTAGGGCAGTCCTTTCAATGGATGTTAAGATTCAAATCAATGTTCAAATGATATTTCCAAGCCCTCGAGGGGCACATGTATGCATGTGCATGTGCATTTGCCCAGGTGGTTGGTAGTACGTAAGGGAATACGGTTATTCGGTCTAGTCCTAACCTTGGAATTCTCCTATAATCCCTCCCGGTCCTCTACTAATTATTGCTCTCGTAAGACTAGATACTCTTTACAATTACCTTGATAGAATACTGGGTCTTTATATCGAAGAGATAACTATGTAAGTTTCGTCTTCGTTCCAGATTTCAGAGCTCGTCGTCACTCTGCCATGAACCCGGCATCAAAGGCGGCGGGCGCTCAGCCCATTGAAAAAACACACTGACCACAGGCTCCCTGAGCCATGTAAATTCCTCGTGCCAATTCCAAACTAGCTTCCAGTCCTGTGGAAGATTTCCAGTGGAAATGGACTTCAATCGTGGCCCTTTCCCGTCATATGCTAAACTAGCCCAGCGAGCATTCTGAAGTACCCAGCTCTCACCAAATCTCTTCCGCTCCCACCACCCGTATGAGGCGAGGTTTACACCCGCAGCTTGGACATCCTTGAGCCAGAGCAGTAACATGCTCTCGAGCTGACGATTATTCCGTCGGATTTCCCGCTTCTTCACGGGAGTCGGCCATCTCGCGCTCATCAATCCTGCGAACAGTGGGGTGGTCGCTTCCCAGATTTCGTTGCCCTGCCGACTCAGATCCTTAGGACGCAATCCTTTGAGTAGCCAACGAGCAAGCTTTCTCCATTCGGAGGACCTGGTTCTCATGTGTGGTGCGTTTGGCCACCCAGCGACATGATGGAAGTAGATCTTTGAAAACTCGTGAAGCGAGCTCTCGGTAACACCGTTTAATTGGCGTCTTACAGTTTCGGCTTTGGACACTTCGCGAATGAAGATATCCAATATAATTCTGGGGTCAACATACTCCCAGATGATCGACGTGAAGCGTGAGTCAAGAGTGACCAGGGGCGACTCGGCTTTCACCAAGTCCCATAGGTTGGGTACGCTCCAAAGAAAGTGGTGGAGGGAGCTTTTCTTGTAGTAGTCCCTCCTTGGGAGGAATAGGGCGCATGCAGCATCGGATAGGTCGTCATTGGATTTGATAAAGCGGTATACGCTCACGATCTCGCCGACATGGTCGTTGTTTCGACAGAGATAGTACAGTGGTGTGCAGCCGTCGGCACTCGTTTCGTGTATGCTCAGACCCAAGCGCACGAGGTATTTGATTGTGTCAATATCGCCTTTAAAGGCTGCATACTACCACTCCGACGATCTTTTAGCGAGAGTACGATGCCGCAAGTGGTGCTGGTAGACTGATTACTCACGTGTAATAACGTCCATCCGCGCGGATCACGGTCATACAGTGATGCCCTGCGCTCCTTGAAAAGAGGAATCATGGCTAATAGATCACCATCAGAGGCAGCATGAAAGATGTCCGTTTCAAACGGCCTTACTGTCCAGTGCCGAAGGTTGTACGTCCATCCATTGCTGGCTTGTCTAGCGCATATATCCCACACATACCGGGTAAGCCATGCGGGTAGCTGTATTCGAGCGCGGTAGACTAGACAGTGTGAGTGTGAGTGTTAAATTCTTTGTCTCGCCCGACTCACCTTCTTCACCCGCAGGAGTTGCGGTTGAATCTACCATGGAGAAATCCGATGAGTAGCTCCCGAAAGTTGAGTACTTCCAGGGTAGACACGGGTACTCTTTGTTCGGTGCGACCCACCCCTCTGTTTTCTTCTCTTTGCAACTATCATTCCCAATACTCATGCTTGATATTGGATTTGTGCTGTGTGAGGACTGCCCCGGAATGCTAAGGCCCGCATTCGACGCTGTCTGTGTCTGACCGGCAATCAAAGCTGGCTGCTGCCTAGCTAGCGCTCTAGTATAGATTGTTAATCCGAGCTTTGCAAAGTTACAGGAGGAGAACCTACATCGCGTACGTCTGTTGTGCAATGCCTAGAAACTGCATCGCATCCCGTAGGTCATCCTCAAGCCGGCGTATCACTCGCTTCCCAAAAGGATCTCTGACCCTTCCTGTGTTTGCGGTTGGGCCTACTTTATCCATGTCGCGCTGGCGGAAGTCACTCACGAGCACGTCTAACTTGTCCTTCGCATTTTTGCAGTAGCGGATGCTTAGATTAAGGACACTGTTGTCGTTGAAGAATCGCCTGTCGTAGCGGAGCTCCATCTCCAAGTCGTCTAGCACTGACTGGACTAATGTCAGACGATCTAGTAAAGAGTTCACTCGTTCGGGCACTTCATGCAAATCGTTCCATAGTCGCTTGAGGGCTAAAATGTCATTCGCCGCTCCGGAGGTGGTATCGGCTAGACTATTTATCAGCCACGTTGACACAGAGGGTGTTATGGAACATGCCTGCACAATAAAAAATTTGACCATAATTCAAACCAACCTGGAGGCCAGAGTTCGGAGAGTGAAAGGTCGTAGACGCCATAGCTGCGGAGTGCATGTAATATTCGTAGGTTGCTGGGGGGGCATGACTAAATCTGTCAAGTGCTAAGACAACAATCCGAGTATTACTCTCAGCGCGTCAAACCCACTGGACACCTAGGTGAGATCTGATGAAGTTGAGTAGTGCCCAGGTGTGCCTAGTTGAGAACCTGTTGTTAAAACCTTGGAACACATTCAATGTTGCGGGAGTTCGCAGAAGCGATTGTACCTCGAGGCTAAACCACATGCTGCCCAGATGCACACATGCGGGGTAATGACACCCACCTGGACATGTATGTACCAAACAACCAGTTGACACCTGGGCATTTGAAGGGGGAGGATTTTAAAAGAGAAACTGGATTTCTCCATTAAAACTATGTCTAAATGGCTTCACAGGGTCAACTCGAGGCACAGAAATCCAAAGATCGATATTTTGCAAGGTTCCTACGAGGGATATTCATGGATGAATTTCAAAGATCTATATGTAACTTGTGAGCTTGTTATCATCACAACCTTGGAACGAGAGCGTAGCGTGGACTGTGGACTTAAGACACGTCCTTACGTCCTTACAAGGATTCAAATATTCCATTTCAGTTCAATGTTGATAGTAGAAGCTATTGACCGGAACCACGAGTACATATGTAGGTCAGTGACATGATCTCTATCACAAAATGGTACGAAGAAACGAAAAATATTGATTCCAGCGATGCACATGTGGATTCACTGCGCGGTGCAAATTTTAGTACGCTGAAAATTTCGAGTCGGGTCAACATTGGAACATTTGAAACATACTTGGGAGCCCCGGGCCTTTCAAGGGTCATCATCAGAGTCAATGAGAGCCCTTTCGAAAGTCTCCTTCCGACGGTTGGACCTCTCCATTTTCTTTTGGAGTTCATCCAAGCCTTGCATGCAGAACTCGCAAGTCCCACATCTTATGTGCTCATCCGTGCCAACACAATGGGGATTTTCCTTTTGCTTATTGCATGCCTGACTGCCTTTATTGTTGCAGTCGATTGTCCTGAGTGTTTCTCTGTGGCTGGGCTTTCCGCCGCAGCGGTACTTGTGCAGCATGTATTCTTGTCGACACATTGTTCAAATGTTGGACGTGGACTTCTAGTGATCAATGGTACTAGGTAGGAGGTAGTAACGTTGGAACCGAACCCGACAAGGCAACCGCAAAATGCCCCGGTGTAAGTTTTCAAGTTATGTCGAATGAATGGTAACCTTAGCCCGAGTCGCACATAGGGAGTCGGGGGTCATCTTTCAAATACACATGTGTAGGTAATGATGTTTGGACTGGCAGACATGTTGAGCCGCAGGCTTGCACATGTGGACATCTGGAGGGGATGCCCAGGTGGGGGAAGACACGGCATGCCACGTGTACTAGGAGTACTGGTCTTACACGCACAGACACGAACGTATGCAGCTCAAGCAGAGGACTCGGATCTTTGATTTGTCCGTCTTGGGGGATGGCGTGGGGGGGGGCAGTAGGAACGGCAAAATTGAACCCAATGCTCCGCCCAGGTCGTGATGTACGCACATGTGCAGGATTCTACCCAAGACACAAACTGCTTATCTATGTACACATGTGCATCAATTGACTAACAATTTTACCTATATCAGTAATTATTTCAGAGCTGCTTTAAGGATAATATCAACATCTACCTCAAAGCTTCTAGGATTCAACTTCAATAATCAATCTTGATATTCAACCACCCTTCATATTAATTATTTTGGTTCTCGCAATTTATGTAGCTATACCATTCAAGGTCCTTGATATTAGCCCAAAAAAATTTAAAAATAAACCTTTCTTTCAATTTTTATTACTATGGTAAATAAACCTCGGAAGATATCAAATTTTGAAGTATCATCATGCACATGTGGATAGACGGTTTTGAAAGAGCCTCTCTGTCTTTCTGATAGAGAACCTTCAAATGTTAGAACGCGAGCCTGGGTGGCACGGTAGTACTTAGGTACTAGTAGGTACCTACATAGTTAATCGAAAGCCCGGGAACTCTTTCCCCTAATCCCAGCATTGAAGGTTCATATCATCGATAAATTTTTGATCGAAAGTTGCGAGGGGTGCTGGGGTATTAGGAAATGCACGTGACTTTGACCCACAGTGGTTCTTAGGAAGTTAGTGGTTTCTTGGTGATCTGAAAAGTGCGGGTGTTGATCAGTGATCATGAGTGGAAATCAACAATACCTTGCACCTCATGGGAAAGCCCGACGCGGCGAAAACAGTGGAAATATATATCGTAAATCAATATAAGACAGAGATAAAAATAACATATAAGATAAATATTGATCAAAGGGTGGGTATAGGACATTGTTTTGAAAGTGCGAGAAAGATGACACGATTGGATAAACAGACAAAAGCCATTTTTGTTTTATATATAGCAGAAAGAGAGACACGAAGGGGGTAGTAATCTGAGGGTAACCATAAGAGATTGAGTTGATTGTAGATTATCTAAGAATGGTTATTGCTAAGTCTATATCTATACTGCTTAAGAGGGTAGGTAAAAGTGTTAAGTATAGGCGTTATAGTATCCACTAAGCTTATACAAACTAGACCTCGACAAGTCCCATGGGACTTAAAAAATTTTGGTCCCAACTCCTGGTCCCATTAGTCCCATGGGACTAAAGAAAATCTTGGTCCCAAAACCCTGGCACTCTAATGGGACTCCTATATGGTCCCATCAGGTGCACAACTTTACCAAGCACTTCCTATCTAGGATACATAAGCCTGCTAATTAAGTTAATAAATTACTATTTTTTACTACTGTATTACTTTTGTCATATTCAGTATGCAGGAAGCACTTGGAAGTTTTTGACTATAAACTTTTATATCAGGTTACTACCCTTTAAACTAATAAATCTTAAAATAATCTTGATCTTGATTAGCTTATAATATAGTTATTAACTAAAGTTAATATATAATCACCCTCTAAAAACTATATATTATAATTAAAAAGGTTATATAAGAGATTATTATAAGGTGATTATAAAAATATATATTTCTATTAGTAACTTATACTTTATATTTCTTTTAATTATTTTATAATTTATTAATAGATTTAATACTATCAATTCTTATCTGATTTTAATATTTTTAGAATTATAGTATCCTAGTTTAGCTCTTTTAATTTAAGAATATTAATAATATATTATAATTAAATAGGAAATTAATATTAAAAATATTAAATAATTTACTTAAGATCTAGGAGAATCTACTTAATCTTAAAAACCCTTTTTTCAAATAGTTGATAAGATTTCTATAAGATTCTTGTAAGACTTTTATAAGACTTCTATAAGGATTTTATTAATCTATAAGATTATTTAGCTAATTAATATAAACTATTTAAGTCTATTTATATCTATTTATAATATATTATAAATAAAGACTAAAATCTCTAATAAGCTTTATCTAGAGAGAAGTAAATCTTTTATCTTTAATAAAAATAATTATATTAAAGGTAATATAATATTCCTTTCCTTATTCTACTCTTTTAAATCTATTAAATACTTAAATATTATATCTTACTATAATACTTATATAAAAATAAGCTAAAACTTATAAATTATATCTTTAATAATTAGAATTAATTAGCTATCTTCTATTTATAATTTTGATATTAGAGATAACCTCTTTACATCAAATAAATTAATTAATTAATAACTATTCTATACTTTATCTCTATCTAATATCTTTAATACTAATATAAATCTTATATTATCTATCTTTTATTAAATTAACTTATAAAACTAAAAGTATTAGATACTCTAGATAATAATAAATAAAACTAAATTTATTAAATAGTAATGCTATATTATAAGGATATATTCTAAGCTTTCTCTTTATAAAATAAACTTTAATATACGTTATATTTTATCTTTATAGAAGTAATTTAATTAAATAGCTTATTATTAGACTAAAAGACTAATAGTACTTTATTAAAAGTATAGAAAAGTGATTATTTATTTATTATTAATTTTAAATAAATTAAAATCATTAAAGACATACTTAAATAGTTATATATATAAAGCTATAATACAAAATAAGTCAATATAATAATATATTAAAAAATCTCTTAAACTAATAATATATACTATTAATATATTTATTTATTAATTTATATTTACTTTTCTATTCTATATAGTCTATCTATACACTTATTTAAAAAGGATTTAGCTAATAAAGATTCGAATATATCTAAGTTAAATTTATTATAAACTTTTAGCTCTCTTTTTAAATACTAGAATATTAAGATTTCCAAGATCTTATTATAAAGGCTTAACTTATATAACAAATTTTTATTTTACTAATCTTTATAACTATCTAATATTATCTTTACTTAATTATTCAAATAAAATAATAAAAGCTATTTTTTTTTTTCTTATTAATATAAAACTTTTAATCATATTAGATTACTAGATCTTGTTATTTTAATAGATATTTATAATAATTACTAGTTATTTTATTAATTATAAATAAGATTATTATAAGATCTTTCTAGATTTTATATCTATTTATAATTAATATATTAATATCTATTTTACTAAGATCTTATTTAAGGTTTTTTAAAAGTATTAGATTATTAATTAAGTAATTATAATTATTATTAATAATATATCTAATAATAAAATAATAGTTAATAATCTTTGTGAATTAATATAGCGAATAGATCTTTTTTCTTTAATAGAGATTATTTAAGTTTCTTATCTAGTATATATAATTTAACTTAATCTTAAAGATCTATTTAGATTAATAAAAATTAATTTAAGAAATAATTAAACTATAACTATATAGTTAGAAGAAAATAGTAATACTTTATAATAAGTAAAATAATAGAAAAAGATAATCTATATACTAGTAAAGATATATCTATTGTTTTTATTTAGATTCTAAACTAATCTTTTCTATTTTATTAAGTTTGTGTTTTTATTAT